GGGCATGATTAGACACACTTCCATGACCAATAATGCCGCTAACTCTTCCTGACTTGTTTGCATATTCTTCGAGGGATGTTGAGGGAAACACATCACCAACCTTGCTGCTATCGCTCCTTGTCGCGGCTTCGTCTGACTTTTTCGGTTGGCTATCTTTGTTCATCTGTGTCAAGCAAATACACAACTTCAGGACAAAAAACACAAACCTACACATTTACATATCTCACACTCTCTTCAAGAATTTATACATAGTAGTTTAAAAAAGGTGTATAAGTCGAGGAACTTACAGCTCGTAAAAGTGTCCTTCGATCCCTTTCCCTAGCATTCTTGATAGTCTGCACCAGATTAACAAAGTTTCAGTCAAAACTCTCAAAAGATTTTTATTAAGATTCCATAAGCAGGAAATGGGACTTTTACAAGGCAGAAGCGTAATAACTAGTCGACTAACCTCATCAAGCATCTTCTGTTCAGCCTCTACCTCGTAAATATCTCTGTGAGAAACAAACAATTACACTCTACATTAGCTTCAAATCTTTATCTACCAAGCTCAGTCTATAAGGAAACAAGCATCTAGCAGAAGCAAGCAAAAGAAAGACCTTGTTCAAGATTCAATTACCTTCCCATGATTTGATCAGCACCAGAACAACACTTTGCACACACTTTTTGCTCCTTGGCACAACCTGTATCAGTTTCATACTATAACACATGAGTTAACTCAAGAACAAGACACTGTTATCATTATTCTTCTTTACCAAAAAGCCCTTAAGATAACAAAAGCAAAGAATCAAAACACTAACCAGTGCATAACTTATGATATGCTTGACGAACATTACGCTTCGTACACTTCTGACTGCACCCAAAAAAAGTCATTTTATTTCAAATTTGATAAACATAAAAACAATCAATTCGATTCAAATTCCAACAGAGAGAATCATACCATTTGGTGGGTTCGGTTAAGGTTTTGTATTTGCCGTATTTTCGTTTCCACGCAATCTGCTCTCGACAACGAAGACAAACTCCGGTAATCTCCGATAATGGTCTGAATCTTCCTCCGACTTCCTAAAAAAACATGAATTTCGCGACAAAGTCAATAGTCTAGCTACACTATCCATCGAATTTCGTTAAAATGGCAGAGAAAAATCAATTACCGTTTCGTTGACCTTCACTCCAGCTTTAGGTACCCAAGCGAATTTGTTCTGATGCTTCGGTGGTCCCTGTCGTGAGCCCATCTTCTTCTTTTACAATCCGAGAGCTTTCAGGTTTTCGAATTCGCCGGTCTAATGAATCGAAATTGTGTAAAAGTATGAGTTTTTAGATCGGAGAAAAAACAGAGTACATGATTCTATCAG